AAAAAAGAACCCACTCTCATGAAAGAGGTCCCATGTACTTTGCTAAGGAGTTTGGATGTAGTCATGTCTTAAGCTTTGTTGTGATAAATGTCGTGAGGAAAAATTGTACTGTGTTTAAATATGTTAAAAATAAACTGCTTTGGGTCAGAAGTTTGAACCAGTCTGGCTACCTAACTAACTCATATGAACCAGATTTTCTTCTTAGCTCTTACAGATAGTTCCTCTACTGGTGTGGCTGAAGCATCTGCAGGAGCCCCCACAACTAGTTCAATGTGAGGGGTTCAACCCTTGGAGAAGGTAAATGTGGTGGTTTGAGTGAGAATGGCCCCCATAGGCCCATAGCTTTGACTACTTGGTCAGCAGGGAGTGGACTACTTGAAAGGGTTGGAAGGTGTGGCCTTGTTAGAGGAAGTGTCACTGGGGGTGGGCTTTGAGTTTCAAAAGCCCATTCCAAGCCCAGAGTTTCTCTTCCTGCTGCCTGTGGATCCAGATGTAGAACTCTTAGCTAATTCTCCAGCACCATGTCTGCCTGTGTGCTGCCATGCTCCCTGCCATGACTGTTAGTATTTAGGCATCTGTACTGGCCTGCCCTTAGGGTCCTGACAGGATATATCCTCAGCTAAAGCCACTAAGAATGCCCCCTGTGCATATTTACCATGTTTCCTTATAAAAGGTGGGTCTAGGCCACCCCCTCCTCCTCCTCCTCCTTCTCTCCTCCTCCTCCTCCTCCTCCTCCTCCTCCTCCTCCTCCTCCTTCTTCTTCTTCTTCTTCTCTCTCTCTCTCTCTCTCTCTCTCTCTCTCTCTCTCTCTCTCTCTCTCTCTCTTCCTTTGCTCTCATCCCTAGGGACTGATGTCTTCCCCCTTCTCTGCCCCTTCTCTCCCTTCCCCTCAATAAATCTCCTACATGGGCCCTGTACTATGGTATGAATCCATCCCAGGCTGTTTCTACAACATTGGTTCATAAAAAATGGCCACCTAATGGCTTGTTGGACCCCAATATTTTATGGGCATTATCTAACTTCCTCAGTGAATGGGCAAATGGAAAGAGTTACCTTATATCCAAGTGTTTTTCTATCTCAGCTCCAATCCCTCTCTCCTTGATTCCTACTCACCTGCCCACATGCTCCTGGCTATGCAACCTGAACCAGAAGAACCTCTCGCTACTACTTTAGACCCTGCTAATGAACCCCCATCTTTCCGACCTCCTGCTTCTTCTCCTTCAGTGACTGTTCCTTGGCTCCTCCAGCCCCTTCCTCCTTGTTGTGCCCAGACAGCGACCCCCAGAGAGACTACCAAAGACAAGCATGCCGGAACTCAAAAGCAAGGTTAAATTCTGGATATCCAATACAAGCCTAGGCAGGGACTTCGTCCAATACATCCAACGCAGTGGAGGCTGGAGGAAGTGCCCGCCTGTCTGCAAGCTCAGTTTTTAAAGGAAAAAAATCACAAGGTTACATCGTTTAGGGGTGCTAGTATGGGTACAATTCTGATTGGCTCACTTCTAGGGGCTTTCTAGAAATCATGGCTTAATCTTACTTCTAAGGGGGTGGTTGCCCACCACCATTTCTCATTGGCTGCCCTCAGGTGGGGACATTTCTGTGGTCAGTTACCCTGGAAACCAGGGAGAGGACATTCCATAGTCCGGCAGTTATTACCTCATGACTACCTTGTGACTTTTACACTTCCTGGTTTCTGGAATCTGAACTGACTGTTTTCAGTAACTAATGGCCTATTCCTAAAAGGAGAAATCTTAGGCCTTAATTTTAGGGTGAAAGCATTTTGGTCTTATTTCTAAGATGGCTCATTTTGGTCTCACACTCCTCTCTGCTACCAGGCCGCTCCAACCACCTGACTCTGGCTCCCACCTTACTCCTCCTGTCACGTGTTCTCGAGCTGCTAAGGAACCCCACCCCAGTCAAACCAACCCAACAGCCATCCTCCCTTTGTGAGAGGTAGCCAGGGTGGATGGACTGGTTAAGCTACATGTCCCTTTCTTACTGACAGAACTCTCTCAGACAGAAAAGAAACTGGATTTTTATGTGTCCAACTCTACCTCTTTTATTAAGCAATTCCAATATATCACCCAATCCTATAGTCTCACCTTTCATAATATATACATGATCCTAACTAACAACTAACTTCCTGAGGAGCACAAATGAGTCTGGGAACAAGCTAGGATACATGCAGATGAGGTCCACCAGACTAACACAGCACATCCTCCTGGAGCTGCAGAGGTCCCCGGTCTGGACCCATGTTGGGATTATAACGCCCCAGGTGGCTCTCTACCTAGGGATCAGTTTATGACCTGCCTCCTAGCAGGACAGCGTAAGGCTGCCCTCAAACCAGTAAACTATGAAAAGCTTCAAGACATAGTTCAGAACAAACAAGAGAATATGTCTCAAATTCTAGAACGACTTATAAAGGCCCTCTTACAGTATACTAATCTAGATCCTAAAAGCCCAGAGGGCAGACAGCTCCTTATGATCCATTTCTTTTTGCAGCGCTTCCCCGACATTAGGGTCAAACTTAAGCATCTGGAGAGAGGGCCCCTGACCCCACAGGCAGAAGTCTAAGTGCTGGCTTATAAGGTGTGCCATGGGAGAGACAAGAAAGCCCATAAACAGGAACACCAAATGGTGGCCAAGACCATTGGGCTTGTACTTGCCCTGTCCCATATGTGCCACCAGGGCCATGTCCAAAGTGCCACCAAGAGGGACATTGGTCAGCTGACTGCCCCCGTGCACCTCGTGATGGGGACATCAAATGCAGACCACCCTCCAGCCGACCTTCTAGGCTTAGCAATGGATGACTGAAGGTGCCCAGGCTCCGGCCCTAACAGCTGTCATCTCCCACAGGGAGCCTTGGGTAGCCATTACAGTATCGGGGCAATCCATTTCCTTCCTCATGGACACCGGGGCCACTTACTTGGTCCTGAGGGAGTTTGGGGACCCACCTCTACTTCCTGTCTCCCTATTGTTGGGGTAGGAGGACAGCCTTACCTATCTCACCAGACCCCACCTCTTAATTGTATTTTCAGGGATATCCCTCTTACCCACACATTTTTGATCATGCCAACTTGCCCTCTGTCCCTAACTGGAAGAGATTTTTTTAGCCAAGGTAGGAGCTTCCATTTGCTCCTCCCTTTCTCCTGACCCTAGACTTGCCAGCAGGTCTTCTCCTCTTCCTCCTAGCCTTTTACCCCAACCCCAGCCCAGGGGAATTCCTCCTCACACAAGGTGACACACAAACAAGGCCCTGCTCTCTTAAGTTCCAGAGGACACTGAGATCAATTGCCTTGTCTCCAATTCCTGGCAATTAGGGCATGCATAGAATTGTAAACTCTGTATTCCTATCACAAAAGATAAACTCCTACATCTTTCCTTTCTCCAATATAACCAGACATTTAAAGTGAGCAATAGTGAGCAAAGGTTAAGCTGACTTTGGGTTGCTGGTCTGTAGTCACACTAGCTAATTCCTTCCCTGTGTCTGTCCTCCTCAGTTCCCATGTCCATTCTGAGGGTGTTGTACCATAACCCTATATTCATACCAAACACAAGTCTCAGGAGAAAGTAGAGGGGCAGGGAGTGGAAGGGCCCAGGGTCCAGGGCGCAGTGAGACCTTCATTTCAGTGGGCCCATAGTCCAGAGACGGCCCGCTTGGCACACCAGTGGCTTCCACTTTCTTGAACTGGACCCACAGTGTAATGCCAGTCACCTTCACGGCCATAGGAGAGGAGAGACTCACCATGTAGGGCCCTTTCCAGGGTGATTAGTGGCCCTTTGGCTACCTGCCTGACCCAGACAGTGTCACTGGACTGGAACAAGGGGAACCTGGTGGGTCTCTCAGTCCAGTGAACAGCCTTTATGGAGGACTGGGGTGCCCGTAGTAAGTTGAGAAAGGAATAGTTAGAGAGTTCCACTAACTGCTGGTCTCTGAGCCTGGGAAGCAGTGGGGGAGGTTTTTCCAAGGATAATCTCATAGGGGAGCAAATCCCTACCTATAAGGGGTGCAGCGGGCCCAAGCAAAGTAAAGGAAGGAGGCCTATCCACCCATCACTGGGCTCTAATGAGAGTTTTGTTAGAGGTTTTTTGTTTTAGTTGTTGTTGTTTTATGTCCTGTTTATTTTTTTTAACCTGGCCAAAAGTCTGAGGTCTATATACACAATGTTTTTTAAAATAATTATTTTTTATTTTATTTTATTTTATGTACATTAGTGTTTTGTCTGTGCACAATGAAAATTTTAATCTATGTGTAAAGCTTTAGCTATTGAGAGGTTTTAGCTATGAAAGCCAGGCCATTGTCGGACCCTTTTGCTAGGGGGAGGCTAAATCAGGGGACCAGTTCCTAGAGGAGCTTTTTATCTACTATTTAGGCAGTTTCAGTCTGGGTGAGGAATGCTTCTACCCACCTAGAAAAGGCATCTTAAAAAAAAACTAAGAAGTCGTTGTTGATTCTGAAGAGCGGAGCGAGCGCTTGGCGCGAGAACCTCAGCCTGCGCGCCTTCTGCTCCTCAGCCGCGGCCTCCTCGTGCGGCGGCGGCCCCGCTGCAGAGGGAGAGGACGCCCCGGCGCAGCCCGCATCCGAGAAGGAGCCCGAAATGCCGGGCGCCAGGGACGAGAGTGAGGAGAGGGAGGAGGAGGAGGAGGAGGAGGAGGAGGAGGAGGAGGAGGAGGAGGAGGAGGAGGAGGAGGAGGAGGAGGAGGAGGAGGAGGAGGAGGAGGAGGAGGAGGAGGAGGAGGAGGAGGAGGAGGAGGAGGAGGAGGAGGAGGAGGAGGAGGAGGAGGAGGAGGAGGAGGAGGAGGAGGAGGAGGAGGAGGAGGAGGAGGAGGAGGAGGAGGAGGAGGAGGAGGAGGAGGAGGAGGAGGAGGAGGAGGAGGAGGAGGAGGAGGAGGAGGAGGAGGAGGAGGAGGAGGAGGAGGAGGAGGAGGAGGAGGAGGAGGAGGAGGAGGAGGAGGAGGAGGAGGAGGAGGAGGAGGACGACGACGACGACGAAGAAGAAAAAGAAAAGAGCTTCATTGTGGAAGGCAAGAGAGAAAAGAAGAAAGTAGAGAGATTGACAATGCAAGTGTCTTCCTTACAAAGAGAGCCATTTACAATTGAACAAGGTATCCTCATTAAAGAAGAACGTGGGTCAGTTCAGTGGCTTTCCATTTGAAAAAGGCAGTACCCAGTATAAAAAGAAGGAAGAAATGCTGAAAAAGTTTAGGAATGCGATGCTAAAGAGCATCTGTGAGGTTCTTGATTTAGAGAGATCAGGCGTGAACAGCAAACTAGTGAAGAGGATCTTGAATTTCTTAATGCATCCAAAGCCTTCCGGCAAACCATTGCCAAAACCCAAAAAATCCTCAAGCAAAGGTAGTAAAAAGGAACGGAACAGTTCTGGAACAACAAGGAAGTCAAAGCAAACCAAATGTCCTGAAATTCTGTCAGATGAATCTAGTAGTGATGAAGAAGAGAAGAAAAATAAGGAAGAGTCTTCAGAAGATGAAGAGAAAGAAAGTGAAGAGGAGCAACCACCACAAAAGACGTCTAAAAAAGATAAAGCAAAACAGACAGCTGCTGCTAGAAGTAAAAAGTCTGTAAAAAGTGCTAATGTTAAGAAGGCAGATAGCAGCAGCACCAAGAAGAATCAAAACAGTTCCAAAAAAGAGTCTGAACCTGAACATGGTTCTGATGATGAACCATTAATTAAAAAATTGAAAAAACCACCTACAGATGAAGAGTTAAAGGAAACAGTGAAGAAATTACTGGCTGATGCTAACTTGGAGGAAGTCACAATGAAGCAGATTTGCAAAGAGGTATATGAAAATTATCCTGCTTAGGATTTAACTGAGAGGAAAGATTTCATTAAAACAACTGAAAAAGAGCTAATCTCTTAAGCTAGAGGACAGATGGCTTGTTCTAAGATTTGAAGATACGATTTATACCAGCAAAGAGAATGTATTTTCTTTTTTAAGTCTATTGTTGGTAGAACTCGCTGCTGACCCTTTTGAGTGTTACATATATTTGAGCTTGCTGTTTTAAATTGCATTTCCTTGCAGTTTTCAGTTTAAAGTCTTGCATGGCAGTAAATGTTCCTTGCTTTTTATAGTTGTACGTTTTGGATTTCTTTATTGTAAGGTCATAGATTTCTGAACTGTTTGTGAATTTTAGTGCACTTAATGTTAGCTTAAGACACTTTTAATTGAAGCAAAAAACTATATAACTATAACCAGCATTTATACGTGCAGAGACTATTGCAGAATTTAGTATATGAGATATTTTGGAATATACCTTCTGTCAGTGTGAAAACGTAGTGGCAGTTTCTTCATCATATTAGAGCATAGCTGTTCAGATGACCGAGTTGGAACTTTTCACGCATGTGTATATATGTCAGGTTGTCAGCATGACAGAAGTGACAGATGTTATTTTTGTATTTTTAAAAACCAATTTGTTGTATATAATTTTTTAAAATTTCTTTTGTGCAGATCAATTTTTAACTTGTAACTAAAGAATGTCAGTGTTCAGCCAGGCAGCATAACAGAGCAGTTAGTTCAGTGTTGCAGCACTGAAGGACTGTCCAGTTCTGCTTTGCCCTGAAAGTGTCATCAATTTTTGTGGTATGTTAAAAGTGTCATAGAAATTTTATACTGAGGATAAACCAAAATCAACACATCAGAGTTTCAAAAACTGGGGAAGGGTGAGCATACTTGGCTTATATAAGTGAACTGGTAGTAACTAAACTTTGACCATATAAATTTTAGATACCTGACTTCCTTCATAATTATGATTCAAAGTATCATCAGATGTAATGCCAGATGATAGTATAAAAGTATCAGATGGTAATGCCGGGAATGTAGGTATCTTTGAAAGTATTTCTCAAAAAACCATACATTAAATTTCTTTGAAGTAAGTATTATGGAATCAAGGCTGTTTGATTTTAAATTTTGGTCAATCAAGATTTTTAGGTGATAAACATGGACTGTCCCTGAATTTAAATTTTGTCTTTTGACTGTCCTGATAAATTATTTCTGAATTATAAAAATAAGCTGCTTGACAATTGATGTACCAACTGAGTGTTTAATTTTCACATCGTAAATCAAATATATTAAAATAATGCTGAACATTAACAGGTATTTTCACATACTTGACTTTAGTATGCTTAGAGTGAAATGGAGGAAGTAACTAAATGGGGACTAAAAATTGGCCTTTACTTTTAAATAATTTGTTATAAATCTTGGCAATAAAGATAAATTGATGTTTAAAAAAAAACAACAAAAAAAACTAAGAAGTCTTTTTATCCTCCCCGGACAGGCCAGATCTCGGTGAAGTCAGTCTTCCCAGAGCTCACCAGGGTGTTAGTCTCTCATTTGGACCTCTTCCTCTGTAAGGGCTCTCTGTTGTATATTGTGTGTGGGTTCACATGGGTCCATGGAAAGAAGGCACAGAGTACTCTAAGAATGATTTTAGCCTTTTTCAGCTGCAGCTGGTCTGTCTCTCTGAATTGAACCACTGTAGCTTTGTGAAGGGCCTTTTTGTTGTTATACAATTTGCACCTTTAGCAAGTCAATTCTATATACAAAAACTTCTTGTCTAAGCCCCCCAAAAGGACAAAGCCAAATGCAAATTCTCAGTAAATGAATACCACAGTTTTTTGGGTTATTCCTAAACCAAGTGTGCATAGGCTTTAAACCCCTTAAGAAACTTTCAGATAGGACTTCAAACAGAAGGTACCAGAGACAGGAGGTAGCAATCAAAAGGCAGATCAAACCAGCTGTATCTCTGCAGGAATTCTCCCAACAGCTCTGTTTTGGATTCACTTGAGCACAAACCTGGCATCTGGCTGAGACAGCCCATGTTAGGCTGTTTAGTCTGGGTATAACATACCTTGGTCTGAGCAACTCAGAAAGTTTTGTGGACCCAGGTAAGTAGCCTGGTGAAAGTTAGTTACTAACAAGCCTGCCAGTTGTTTCTGGAAGAATGGTCTTTCCCTCTGGTGTCCTCCATCAACCTGTAGGCTTGAGCTGTCCATTTCTTCATTACCATGGAGTCTCAGGCAGCACCAGCCCAGCTGTGTCATCAGAATATCAATAGGCCCCACTAGTCTTAGGGCCATTTGTGTTTGTCCAGCAGCCAGGTCAGAAGCCCAGCAGTGGAGGACAGTAATTTGCAGGGGAAGCCAAACAGCCTTTAGGAGGGCCAAAATTTTTTAGTGTCCTTTTCTCCCCAGCAGTGAGAAGCCCTCTTTCTCTATAGATCACACCATGGACATGGCCAGTAGTAAAAGCATACTGACTGATGGTCCATGTGCTGGAATTTCCTTTTCCCCAGATGAGAGGCTGGGTCAGATCAATCAGTTCTGCTCTCTAGGCTGAGGTACCTGGCTTGGGCCCAAATTGTTTTGGTTAAAGTAACTACTCCAGCTCCAACATACCTAGTTTCATCAGACAAGAGAGTATCAGGATTGACAGTGGTGGGTTCCTCAAACCAGGCTTGAGGGTAGGCCAGGAGTAGGGCCTAGTATGGGGTCACTCAGTCATCAGCCAGCCAGCATTCTGGTGCTCCTCAGAGAAAAGCTTCAACGGTGTTGTAGGGTGCTATGGGTATAAGGTCTTGGCCCAGAATTAACTTGTTTTGCTTTCTTTCATTAAACTAGCAATAGCCACCACAAGCCTTTAGACAGATGGGCCATCCTGTGTCTTTTCTGTCCAACTTTATCTTTTCATCAGAGGGCAGAACTTTCAGCTAAGAGATGTTTTGTGACAGAGGGTCAGATACCAACATTTTGCTGGTTAGTTGTAGGTCTAACTGTGTTCTCATCATCAGAGAAGGTGAGGGTGGCTTTCAGTTTATGCAAAAGTTTCTCGTCCCATTCAGTTCTATGTTGTTAACACCCTTTGAGCTACCTCTAGCAACTGGGACCTGCTTATATCTTTAAATTTTATAACTGTGTTCTAATATCTGGGGCCAACTGGGTGATAAAGGAAATCTTTTTAGTAGCTGTCTTTAATTCTTTAAAAGAGACCTAGTAAAGGTTGTTTAAAGTCTACTTGGTCAGTGTTGGACAGAAGAGAAAATCCATTTTGCTCAGGCTGCCTTGTCTGCCAGTGATCCCTGTGCCCAGCTCAGGGATGTTTTTGTTTTGTTTTGTTTTAAGAGAATGATAAGTTTTATGATAAGTTTTGGTTAAAGGGATGACACAAATCAATGAAAGAGAGAGGAGTGGAACTTTCTCTTTTCTTTTTGGAAACAGCCCAGAAGAACTTTTCCCCCCTCCCTGAGGCTGCTTAGAACAGGCAGGAGTGGAGGGAATGCTCACCTGGGGGAACTATTTCCCCTCCCAGTGCACTTTCTGCTTAGATGGTAGGGGGCCCTGGATAAGAGACTTGACCCCTCCCTATCACCATACAGGGACCAACCCTGGCCACAAGCAAGAGCCAAGCAACAAAACAGGCAAATGCTCCTGTTCCCAGAGTGGGACAGGTAGAGGGGTTTTGTTTGTTTGTTTGTTTCTCTGGGTGACCTAGCAGAGCCAAAAGGATTTGGGTCCCCATAGAAGGGGCACAGGTCTTAAGCCAGGGGATTCTCACACCAGAGAAAGCCATTACATGCAGACAGAAAGTGAATACAGGGAAACAGAACTGACAGGAACATAGAAAGACACATGTACATACAGTGACACAGGAAAAACAGCAAGGGTGGCCATCACACGCTCATACACACCGGAACATACAGAGGGATCCAGTGACGTCTCACGTGGATCCTGGACACTGCATCATCAGGGTTGTCCAAGCTTTCCTAAGTGTCCAAACAGAAGGCACCTTAACCAGATTAACTGCACCCCACTACCACCCCCAGAGGTGACAGACCAATAGACTTTCTAATTTGTTTCCTTTTGGGGTGGAGGTGTCAGACCCCTCTGAAAGCATCAGGCAGTGACTGATCAAAGGGACCCTCAGGGACCTGAACATCTCAGGTTGTGCCCTCCCTAGGAGTCCCCTGACCATTCACTCTTCCTGGCTCCAAGGGGCTCTGAGACCCCTGTCTCACTTGAGGTCCGGTCTCTGGGATCACTGTGGGACTTCCAGACATATTGTGGGGCATTTACCATAGAAGACTGCTTGGACATGGCTTTAAGCCAAAAGAAAGTCTTTATTAGCTGGCCAGCTACGACACTGGGTGTTCGGGATCCCAGAGTAGCACCAGTACTGAGACTTTCTCAGGGTGAACTTTTAAGTACAAAAACCATGTTTTGGGTTCACATTCTTCAGTTAACAAAAACAGTTAGCCAGAAGTGGAACTACAGGAGCCAAAAAGCAATGTCAGCACATTTAGAGACTTTCCCAGAACTATGAACTTCAATGGATTAGGCTTTTTAGCTTTGGCAGGTGGTGCTGTCTACATGCTGAGTTTCACAGCCTGAGTGGTACTTCCACCATGGAGTCAGTTATGCTAAGGCGTACTAAGATCTGGGGGCCTGCTTCAGTTTCAGTGTTAAAAAACAGATCTAACAAACTGAAATCAAAGAAAAAAAATTCAGGACTTGTGTCCTTGTTTGGCTATATTGCTGCAAAGACAAAAATATACTGTGAAGGTAGATATCCGTATGAATATCATTTGCTCTCATAGAAAGATGTTTTATACACAGTAATCTTAGAATAGGAAGTAACAATTAGCCTGAAAATTACTAAAAGGGATAGAAATGTTCATAAGGTGAGGTGCATGATACATGTTTTGAATTTATCTTACCGTGACAAATTTAAAAAAAAAAAGTTTTGTTGCTTTTTGGTATGGTTGTTATGGTTCTTTAAACCACATGTAATTAAAATTATAATCAAACTTACCAGGCTTGGAGTCAAGTGTCCTTGTAACAGGCCTCCAATCCTTGGTTCAGCTGATGCCCTTATGGAAGTGCCATTCAGACCTTGAAAGCCAGAGCATAGGCAGCAACACCTGCCAAAATGATAACAGAGACCCCATCCTTCAAATCCATAGTTCTAGGAAAGTCCCTAGATGCACTAATCTTGTGCTTTTGGAGTTCTGCTTCTGGCTAAATGTTCTTGCTAACTGATGTGTCAACCCAGGGTGTGATTTTGTGTGTGTATGTGTGTGTGTGTGTGTGTGTGTGTGTGTGTGTGTGTGTGTGAAAGCCTAGCCAGAGAAAGACTCAAGGCCGCACTGGTGTCACGAACACCCAGTGTAGTCAACCTCCAATAAAGACTTCCTACTGGCTTGAACTAGTGTCTGAGTAGTCTTCGCAGCTGGGTACTTCACAACACCCCTTCTCACTGTGTCGTTTTGCCTGCCCCCATGTACACTTGTTGGAATATGAATGCTAAGGGCTTGTCTTAAGGAAGAAATGCAACCAACCAGAGAGATGTAGAAGGGACAGGCAGAGGGCAGTAAGCAGAGAGACTGAATGAGGACAAAGAAGAAGGACAAGCACATGGGAGTGTCATATGAAGCACATAATTTTGTATACTGCTCTAAAATTTAATTTAAAAACTATTATAACTTGGTGCTTTAGGAAACTGTTTCTCATTTCAAAGCTCAAGGTGTCTCCTCAAAAGAGTAGAATTTGGCAATTTTACAGAAATTTTATTAAATTGTTCTGACTATTATTGGGTAAGATTATCTCTATCTATCTATCTATCTATCTATCTATCTATCTATCTATCTATCTATCTATTTATCTAATATATATCATAAGCGAATAGATCTAAGCTTGTATACAAAGTTAAATGTAACTGTTTAGTGGGGCTAGATTCTGCGCTAGAATCCCAGTCACAAAAATCCAAGTGAACCTGTTGTTGTTCATTTAATAACCGGTTGGGTCCATCCGCTGTCACTCTAGCTCTGGACATGAGGTTCTGTCCAATCAGAGGCAATAGTGTGAGGATTGTCCAATCAGTAGCAAAGACACCTTCTGCTGGGCACATTATTGTCTCAGACCAGCCATCTTGGGACCTGTCGCCCGGTACTATCCCCTCTCCGGAGGCCTTTCCTGGACACTTAGTGCTGGCCGCTGTGATCTGGTTCATCTGTGGTGCGGTGAGAGCCATAGTGAGGACTCGTGATGCCCAGGAAGCTGGAGATGGTGAGTGAGGTGCATGCAGAGCGGGAGGGCAGCTGTGCACTCCATCGCCTGCGGTTGTGGGGGTCGGGGCTGGAGGCTGGACAGCGGGCATCCTATCAGGTCCCTGCTCCCGGATTTGATCCCTACTGCAGCCTTCTCTGCGAGCTCTGCCTGGAGTGTGTGGCGGCTGAGCCGGGGAGGGCAGCTGTAACTGGTCGGAAAGCGCCACTGTCCTGGCCAGGACCGCGGTGGGACGGCGGGCCAGTGGAGCCGCCACGGGGAGTCTGGAGCCAGTGTCCCACAGGAGGACTCAGAGCGCTCTCGTGCTGTGTCTGCACCGGGTACCCAGGTCAGAGGCCCTAGTCCCTACTCAACCTTCGCAGCATCAGGCGGCGGATTCCTTCCCCTGCAGCTCTCTGAACCTAAGGGACTGTTGTCATCTGCAGCAGTGACATTCACCCGGCTCTCCACCTCCTAGAACTCCACTCGTGTTCAGGTAGTTTCCCGGACTCTCACTACCGCCGGGTCCCATCCGCAGCTGTAGCTCGGCCTCTGCCTGGGTTTGTGTCTCTCTGATTGTCCCTCTGAATCTCCGAGATCTCTCATCTCTGAGCTGCTGTGATTGCCGCTCTGACAGTTTTGAATCTAGTCCTGTATGTCACATACCTCTTTGGCTTGTTCGTCTGGCCCATCTTTCTCTGGGTCTCTCAACACCTCTTCTTCAGGATGCGTTTTCTTGAAAAACTGTGTCACTAGGACAAGAGTTCAAATCCAGGTGACAATGTTCTTACTGCTTGGTGCCGATCACCCCTTCTATCAGCTACTGTGTGTGTGTGTGTGTGTGTGTGTGTGTGTGTGTGTGTGTGTGTGTGTGTGTGTTACTGAGGCTCAACCAAGGGATTGCTAGGAAAGTGTTTTGCCAAGAGTCACTTTCCCAGTGTTGTTTGTTTTAGTTGTTGTTTGTTTTGTTTGGGGTTTTTTTTGTTTGTCTATTTTTTGAGAGAGAACCTTACAGGGAGCCCAGAGTGGCCTTGAACTTGGACCCCCTGCATTGTTCTTCAGAGGAGTTGAGATCAAAGGCTGGAGTCCTCAGGACTCTGTCCTTTTTTGTGGAGGTAAACAGTGGAGCCCAGGTCAGGAACTGTCATTTTTCAGGCCTCCAGGTACTAACTGCCCTTCTCTCCACAGCCTCCAATTGCACATGGGCCTCCTGCACATATGTCCAGGGGCAGATCTGAGGCCAGTTGGAAATACACAAAAGCCATGAATGGATCTGCCCTTCAGGATCCCTAGACCTTGCCAAGAGCCCTCTGCATACAAGGTGATACCTAAGGAATCCCAGATGCAGTAGCAAAAGATATGTGTAGACAAGTGCGGAGATGGCAATCCCCCCAAAAATACAAAGAGCACTGATAGATCAGTTGGCTACTATTAGAGCCCCAGAGCCAAGCACTGGGGGGTGAGGGTGGGATTCTTCAGTTCTACTTCTCACACGTGGGCGGTCATGACCGTAGTGAGCAGACACTGTTCGGGGGGAATATGACTCAGAAGCACAGGAGCTGTGGAGTTTAGAACAGGCACATTCCTCCAGTCTGAAAAAGGCCACTGCTGAGGTCCTGGTGTGCCAGTCAAAGGAGGCAGAGGGGAGAGATAAAAGAGGCTAGGTAAGAAAAACAAAGGAACTGCACTCAAAACCCAGCCAGGGGACACACGGCTTCTCTGACTCAGTCTCCTGTATGTCTGCAAATGCGTTCCCACAGCCCTTTCCCTGCCCTTTCTGACTGTATTCTTCAAACAGGTTCTCACTCTGTAGACAAGCAGGGTCTGGAACTCTATGTAGCTCAGGCTGGCCTCAAGCTAGAAGCAATGCTCTTCCATCTTCCAAGCACAGGGATTCATACACATGTACCAGCAGCCCATGGGTCCCTGTTCCTCTCCGTCTCTCCATCTCTGTGTGTGTCTGTCTCCTTGGGTAACTTATCTCTGAGTGAGTGAGGAGCCCTCATCAGGGACTGCACATGGACTAAGTGGTTACCCACAGTGGATGCAGGATGGCAGGAGCTCTGTGCAGAGCCCTGATCCTCCTTCTTTGTCTAGCTGTCCCCACTCAGTACAGTCTTGAAGTTAAACAAAGGAGGGACCTATATGTGGGGTTTCAAACCTGCTTCCAAGTCAGGAGTGGTTGTGCAGGTTACAATTCTTGATACCTGGGAGGGTGAAGCAGGCGGAACTAGCAGAAGTTCCAGACCATTGTGAGCTACAGTTCAAGTTGGAGGTGAACCTGGACTACTTAGGCATTATGTCAAAAAGCAAAAGTATGTGGGAGTACAGTTCAGTGGTAGAATACTCGCCTGGCATGTGCAGGACTCCGCCTTCTGTTCCCAATGACCTTGATTCTGTAGAACCTCAGAGAAGCCAGTTTCCTTCTGGAGAATCAGAGTGTTCCTCTCTGGACAGTGGGGCACTGTCACCCCTGGCTGGCATTGCGCTGGGACCACAGCCAGGGAAGAATGAAACTGCCTCTGAGTGGTGAACAGTACATCACATCTCACCAGACCTCTAATATGGGCCCTGGAAGCAGGAGGTGGTGTGGGGTTGGAAGAACTGTCCACTGCACAATGGAAATCCAAAGCTGGGGACAGGGCCAGAGGTGGGTCTCCCCTCCACTGTCTGCCACACTGGCCTGGGGAAGGTGTCTCTGCTGTAGGCTCAAGGAAGCTTCAGGTGGCCGTGATGGTTCTGATGGACCTGTCAATGAAGATAGACGAGGAACAAAAGGGTCCGAGAGGGGAGTAGTTGTGGGATGAAGACTAGTGAGAAGTGCAGGGAAGACCGGCCCATCATGTGCTGTAGGACCTCAGGATCATCATGTACAAGAAGGACACTATCAACGTGTGGGCATGTGTGGTGGTCTGAATGAGAGTGGTTCCCGTAGTCTCATAATATTTGAATGCTTGGTTCCCACTTGAGGGACTGTTTAGCAAGGATGAGTAGGTGTGGCCTTGTTGGAGGAGGTGTGACCTTGGAGAAGATATGTCATTCTGTGTGGCCTTTGAGGTTTCAAAAGCCCACACCAGGCCCCATCTGGATCTCTCTGCCTCCACCTGTGGGTCAGATGTGAGCTCTCAACTACTGCTTCAGAGAGACATGGCTGCCTGCCTACCACCATGATGGCTGTGGACTCACCCTCTGAAACTGTATGTAAGCCCTCAACCAAAGGTCTTCTTTTGTAAGTTGCCTTAGTCATGGTGTCTCTTCACAGCAATAGAACAGTGACTAAGACAGCATGGCAGTGTACCCCTGTAATCCCAGCACTTGGCAGGCAGGAGGATTGTGGGTATTTAGGGCCAGCCTGAGCTACAGAGTAAGACCACATCTCCAAAGAAGTACACAATTGTTTGGACCTGAACTCCAGTGTAACACTTCCCAGCTGTGCAGTCCAGGTTAGTGGTTTATTCCCTTGGAACTGGTTTTCCTCTCCCATAAAATGGAGCCAAATCCATGTTTCATGGGGTGTTGTAAGGGTCAGGATTAGTTCCACCCTGTCAGCACAGGCCTGGCACCTCTAGTGCTATCTGTGCTCTTCTACATCTCCCTGTTTCTGTTTTCAAAGAAAAAATAGTGGCTGTTATAGAGCCCATGTGAAAGCATTGTCTCTATGGCTAGTCTAATTAATATAGGCAAGCATAAGAGAATTATAAGAATAGGTAGCAGAAGACCAAGAGAAAACCACCTTAACCATGATGGCCATTCAAAGGTCACTTAAGAGATTTTGTCTATCTCTTTATGCAAATCATTAATTTGACCATCAGTAGTATAAGAAAAATCTAACACATTAAAGCAACATATGCCAGGGAATTGTTGACAAACAAGATTATGCTTGAGCAACAATTAATCTATAGTAGCTCTATTTTGTAAAACTATGGTTCTCAATTCACCATCTCTTGATTAATTTCTGCTAATGTTTGCTGTGATATTATTAGTTTTACTAATCACGCATGCCATCTTTGAGACCTCTCTTTGTATTCCAGTAACTATTCCTAGGATAGGCAATAACAAAGCCATTGAGGCTGCAACCATTACAACAGGATCCAATACGTGCAAAGAATCATCACAATTCTCATGGTGAGTTCCCTCTCTCTCTGGTTTTTCTAGACAGGGTTTCTCTGTAGCCTTAACTGTCCTTAATTCTATTGATTGCAAAGGTTTACTGAGCAAAATGGGTATAACATGGCCTAGCCTACATAAACCTTTATAACTGACCCGTCCCGCGGGCCAGGTTATTGGGGAGACTCGAGGAGGCACCTCCTGAAAGATCAATGGGGGCGAGAGAGAAAGGAGACCAGGCGCAATAAGGGAAGACAGAGTCAGTCTGAGTCGCGTCAAGGTCTCGTTTATTGACTGGGTATTGAGGCTTATAAGCAGGGCTTCAGGCAGGGAGGGGGGCAGGGGAAGCAAAAGGAGAGAAGAATGGAAAATTCCTAAGGAAGGGTGAGGTCGCTTTGGTCCCAGGCCCCTGCAGCTAACTGATTAGCACGTACTCCTCCAGGAAGTTGTACAGCCCGCGGTTAGGCCAGGAACCTGTTTTTTGCAAGGTTTGATAAAGTAAGGAAGGTCACACAAAATTCAAGACACAGCTGTCCGGAGTTGGTCTCTAACATATAACTTTCAGGAAGGGCAGTGTAAGTAGCATTTTCAGTGCCCCCCCCCACCCGTTGGGGTCCACAGAGGTTTCCTAGTGATATCTGAGCTTACTTTACACAGCAGGACTGCATAAGGGGATGGATTGACCACGTGCATGGTTACCAGGTGTTTGGAAGGGTCTGCACTTGGCTGTGCAAGGGGGAGGACTTTTGCTCACCCCTTGGCATATCTATAAAAAGCCGTTTAGCAGAGACAGAAGGGGCTGGTGTGTTTTCACCCAGGCCCTCCCAAGGCTATCTTATGTTTCTATCTGTCTCTCCTCTATATTTCTATCTAAATATTTCTCACTTCTCAAGAGTACCCTGGGGGAAAAGTAA